TCAGCTCTCACCCCTCCAGCCGGGCTTGGCTGCCTGCAGAGCTCTGTCCCCCGGGGCAGCGGGGCCCCACTGAGCAGCTCGGTGCCCGAGCTCTGCCGCTGCTGCAGCCAGAGACAGCGAGGAGAGGCAGAGCAGCCCTGAGGCGAGTACGGGGATGCTCCCAGCCAAGCTCGCCTGTGAGGAGGAAGATGCAACACGCAGGAGTGTGGGAAGGTGTCTCTCCCCCGGCAGAGGTGCGTCCAGCATGCAGGGCTGCGTGTGTGAGTGAGCGTGTGTGTGTGTGTGTGTGCAGGTGCCCGCCAGACTTTTACCTGCTGCTCTGTGATGCACAGAAAAGGATGCAGAAATGCCGATTCGGAGGAGGTGGGGCTGGGGGGGGGGAGAGGAGGAGATGAAATGAAATGCTAATGAAAACAGGGATCTGGTCTAAACTCCACAAAGTGGCAGCCAGAGAGTTCCCTTTTCCGCCTTAAAGAGACAGCCGGCACCGTGCTCTGCCTCCCCTCCGCCGGCCGCCTCTGCCAACGTCGGAGACCCCGCGTTCCCCTGGCAGGTGGGCAGCGACCCACGGGCCAGCAGGTCTGCGGCTAAGCCCAGCCGGCAGCGCCGAGCGCGAGGCTCCATCCTCCGCGCCAGTTGACAAACAGCAAAATTTCGCGAAGCCCAAATAAAAAAGCAACAAAACCTGCGTGCAGTAGCCCACGGTTGCCTGCTCAGAACGCAGCCGGAGGCGTGGAAAGGGCTTGCTGGCTGATTTTCCAGCAATCTACAGCCAGGGATGGAGGGTGCGAGCAGAAGCCAAGGGAAAAGGCTGCACCCGCGCTGGGACAGCCAGCGCGGTCTCGCCCCTCCGCTCCGGGGTTATTTGGGCTGGCCTCGGTGCAGCCCAGGTCTCTGCCTTTGCAAGGGCAACCCCGGATGGACCCACGGCAACTTGCCCTTTGGCAAGCGGGAGGCAACGTGCCAGAGGACCCAGCGGGTCCTGCTGGCTTCTTCATCCCTGCTAGTTCAGAAGACACTTCTGAACCTTTAAGCGCTGTTAGGTATCCCACGCTACCACCTCCACGCTTCAGGGCCAATACCTGGGGGTGCTTGGCAGGGACCGATTTGGTTTTTTTAATTACCCAGCTGCCAAAAGGGGTTTGGTTTTTTTTCTTCCAACAAACGGCCACAATTTCTGTTGGGGGGAGACCGGAGCCGAGGGCACTGACTCCAGCACAAACCAGAGCTGTGTGTGTGTCTCCGTTGTGCCCCTGGAACCTACCCCTGTGGTCGCAGGGCCAGACATTGCCCTTCCCTCCCTGCGCTGCCGCCAAAGCTTTTGTTAACACGCTTCCCCTGGGAAGATGCTGCTGCAGATGTGTGGGCGAGTGCCAGCTGTGCACGCAGCACGCCCCACCGGCCCCGTCCCGCTGCACCCCCAGCGCCGTCTGCGCTGCCCCAGCCGCCCGCCCCGGAACAGAAATTTGTCTCTTTACCAAGATCTACTTTTCTAACCGCCTTTTCAACAGCTTTGTCGTGCTTTTCCTAGTGACTGAGTGGGCAATTCGGGCCTGGAAACCACCTGTGAGCAAGGGACGGGGGAGACGCAAAGCAGGGCTCACCTCTGTGCATGGACGCGGCCCACACGCAGCCCATTGCCCCCCCAGGATCTCCGTGCCACTGGAAAGCTGTTCACTGCCAAACAGCTGCCGTCACTGGTACCAGCTCTCCCGGGAGCGCGTGCACGGCGTCTGCCCTCCCTCTGCTTTCCCCAGGACCCTCGCCTTGGATGCTCCCAGCCAAACCTCCCCGGCCACCTCCGCGTCACTCCGTCCTGGCAGGCATCCCAGGGCAGAGCACACACACGCGAGGCTCTGATCGCAGCAGGAGGTTTCTTTAGAAAAGCGCTTGTACCAGGAAACCCTCACTTCCTCGCCCCATCTGTGCTGGGAACAAGCAAGAAAACCCACCCCGAGCCCACACTGAGGCAGCCTCCCAGCTAGGATAAATCAATGCAGCACGGACAGATTTATCCCAGCTGGGTCCACGCTAAGTGCTCAGCGAGGAAGTCATGCCACGGTGCAAAGCCATGCTTCCTTCTCAGCCCCGATGCACCCCAACCTTAGGAGCATCTCGGTTTATCTCCAGAGCTTTTGCTTCGGAGAAGGAGATACTGGATCAGGAGTGTCTCTTCCACAACCAGGTATGTGGGAGGTTTTGTATGCTTGGTTTGGATGCGTTTGCTGGGGAAGCGAATCTGAATTGATCGAAGCAAAATGCGTTTAAAAAACCCTGCCTTAAAATGAGGTCCAAATCCTACCGTTGCCCCTGCAAAAGCTTCTCTGCTCCAGCAGCTCTGCTGGCCTGTTTGTGCTCTCTCTCCCCTGCGCTGCGTTTCTGGACACATCTGCAGGGGATCACGGTTTCCACCAGCTCTGCTCTCCAGTACCACTAGCAGGGAAAGCGAAACCAGATTGTCAACAGCCACCCAAGTGTCAACATGGCAAAAAAAGGGCTGGTGAGCCGGAGTGAGCAAAACTGGAAGGCTGAGAGACCTCGGCGAGGACATCCAGGCAGTCCAGGGCTGAACGCAGCAGCCTCCAATAGTGCAATCTGCTCTCAGGATCTCATTCCACCCTTTAACTGGGATGGCTCCTTAGGGCAGATTTTGGGCAGAGCCTGTCTAGCTACCTTTAAAGATCTGTTTTTTCATCTGCAAAACAGCCCTCCGCTGCCTGCCTCCGCTGAAGCTCCGGTTGTGTCGAAAGGAGGTGGAGACGTCCTGCTCCGAACACCTTGAACTGGAGTTTATAGGAACAGTCTCCCTGCTAAATCCAGCCCCCGTTTCTGCTGTACACCAGTAAAAGGGCCACGTGACGGTGGCCAGTGAGAGCATGGGTTCCTCCACCTTTTCCTGGCTCTCTGGTAAAGCTCCCTTCCTTGGGAGGGAGCCTAAAAACATGATCTCAACGCACAGGACACCTCCAGCCCTGCCAGGGTCCTTCCTTTTCAGCCCGTCCCCTTCGTTGCGGCAATTGCTGCCTTAACGCAAACCCCCTCCCGCTTCACCACTCGGAGAGCTGCTCTCCAAACTTGTGCAGAGCCCCCAGAGCCTGGGACTCAAAGAGAGGGGCAGCAGGAGCTGGCCGCTTGCACGGCACAGCCTCCTGCCCCTCCCGGCGCAGGCGGGACCCTCCCCAGGGTTAGGCTCAGACGAGGGAGCATCATCTGATGGTTTCTGAGGGCACAACCACGCCGGGTGGCCAGGCATCAGTGGGCCCGGAGGTTTGCAAGCTCTGCCCTGCCCAGGGAACGCTTGATCCAAACACCCTTGGGAAGAGCTCACTGGTTTTCAGCCAAGGCACTCGTGTCCCCTCCTCACCCGCGAAGGGATGTCCATGTCCAAGGTCGCCCTCCTCCACTCCAGAGGCGCTCCTGGAGGCCATGAACATCTGGACGCCACGAAGCACGCTGGATCAAGAGTGTCACCTAGTGGCAACAGAGCTGATAAAGATTGTATGATCCCGCAGAGACCCCACGCACTTCCCACACAAGTGGGACCAACAGCCCTTAAACCTCCAGGCCGCAGCGACAAGGGCCCTCGAGTGCGACCGCGCCTGGGCAACAGCTGATGTGCCGGCTCCCCATGCCCACGTGCAGCCCATACGCTGAGTATTTTGGGGTTGGTTTTCCTTTTAGCGGCTCTCCCTCCTCCTCCCAAATTGAATGCGGCAGAAAGCTGAAGGGAACCATCGCCCTCCCGTGCCCTGTACCCTCCTGCGCTGCTCTCCCGCCCGGCGTCCTGGTGTAAACGGCCTCTCCCCCGTCAGCACTGAGGAGCCTACTGCCAAAAACCAGACAGGCATCAGAGCACTGAGAAATGGAAGTCAGAACTAATTTATTTAAGGGGAAAAAAAACCAAACTTGTAAAAAGGAGGGGGAGGCATCGATTACAAGCTCTGGAAGCTCTTGTCAGGACAGTGCCAAAGAAATCAGCTTTATACAACGGAGAGAAAGGGGTAGCAGGAGGGGCCCAGGGCCGTCCCCCCACCCCGAGCCTCCCCAGCCCTGCATGAGCAGTCCCCTGCGAAGGTACATCAGCATCCCGGCACTCGTCCCCCTTCTCCCTCCACCAGCATTAAAGAGCAGCAGGGAGAGGGGGGAGAGGGGCTGGCTCCCACCCAGCCCGGCCCAGCCCAGCGGGAGCCTTCCCCTGCGGGCCACGAAACGCGAAACCCCAGTGCCCATGGCACGAGCCGGGTCCCTCGTCCCCAGGGAGCTACGTGGCGGCCCCGAGGACCAGCAAGGAAAGGGCTCTCACCCCCCATGGTTCCCAGCAACCTCACACACGCAGCCCCAGAGGCACATCCTGGGGCAAAATACTCCCCGAGAGCTACCTAATACGAGGGGGTTGGGGTTGAATTAAGATCCAGCGGGTGCCAGGAGGAACAGCGCGTCCACACTGAGCCCCCGTGTCCTTAGGCAGGCAGGGCAGATGGGAGGAAGAAGGGATGCCCCCGGTCCCGCACACCCCAGGAGCGACGCGCGTCTCTTGTGGGACTGTGGGGAGGCTGCATCCCTTCTTCCTCCGCCCCAGGCACAAGCCGTTTACAAGAGAAAAACCCAGAAGGACTCAGCAAGGGCTCACCGCGCGCCCGGGGGCCTGCAGACAGCCCCTGGGGAGGCCAGCTCAGCTCTTGCTCTCAGCCGAAGCCCCCTCGTCTGGGTTCCCGCTCCTCTCAATATATTATTACTATTATGTGCAAGTAGTTTTGCATCAGAAAACCCCGAGCCCTCCTCTCTCGCCCTGCAGCTCCAGCCCCACGCCCGCCCCTCAGCCCTGCTTGTTCCTCAAAACGTTCCTCCAGCCCCGGGGTGTCATGGAGAGCAAAGCGTGAGGGTAGCTATTAGACAGGAAAGACTCCACCACCCCCCTCCCTCCCCAAACCCCGGCCCTCTCCCTCGCACACACCCCCTGCCCGCGCCGCCGGCTGCAAGGACAGTCCGCAAAGGCCAGGTCACTCGTCGCCCTCCTCTCGTGATGGCGTGATGGTGGTGGCTGGAGGCGGGAGGTTCTTCCACCTCCTGTTGGTGGTGGGCATAGTGATGGGGGCTGGGACCTTCAGCGGGCATGTTCTCCTCCGCGTTCAGGTAGACGTTGAACAGGGCTCCCTCGTGGCTCGGCTCCTTCCCGCAAGCCTGGCAGCTACAGTGAAGTATCTTCTCCACCAGCTTGTCAACCCTGGGGATCTCGTCGTTGCCTGGACAGTCCAGTGTCACCTGGGTAGAAGGACGGGGACGCAGTGAGTGAGCATGCAGATTCAACGCCCGGATGGCCATCCTGCTGCACGCGGTCTGACCTGCCCCGGTGCCCTGCAGACTTGGGGTATTTTAAGCCAGAAGCGAGGGCTCGCTGCCCGTACAGACAAACCTCCACAGTCAGTCTGCAAGGCAAGAGTTCTCTAGGAATGCCTTGCAAGGTCACAAGCTGCAGAGACCCAGGGAAAACGCACCGACTCAAGCGGGACAACGCTCCCGGGCACTACTGGCACAGAAATATCGGTGGTAACTGCAAAGGCCACCCACAAGACACGTCGCTGAGCATCTCAGATAGTTTGGAGGATAGTTTTGGAGGCCACGTCGCTGAGCATCTCAGATAGTTTGGACTAAACCATCTGCCCAAGTGTCCGAGTTGAAAGCAAAGCAGAGAGCTGACCCCAGCTCCCCGGGTGCCCAGGCTTGCCTCGGAGGCAGGGTTTATGGCTCTGCCAGGATCAATGGTGGCATGAAACTTTGAGGTCTGAGGGTGACGGGCAGATGGGCTGTGGGAAGCACTTCTGGACATCGAGGAAGGCAAAAACTCCCATGTGGGAGGAGGTGACAAAGGGAGTGGTGGAGAGAATAGGCACGTGGGATGAGCACGGGGATGAATAATGCAGGGACTGACGGGGGATGCTTCTGCAAACAGAGTGATAAATGCATCATTCATCACAGCAGTCACGTTGCTTCCAGCAGCCCCTTCCACCCAGGCATCTCAAGACAGGGTACAGTCACCCGAGAGACACCCTGGAAGGAACCTACGAGTGGGAAAACCTCAGGGAAGGAGAACGACTCGCCCTAAAGCGGTGGCAGAGCAGAGGCGAGAGCCCCTGAGCGAGGCCCCGCAGAAAGAGCAGGCAGGGATACTCACGATTTCCCACATGGACTGGGCTGGCATGCAGGAGTCGCAGTGAACCAGGGACTCTGTGGACTGAGGGAAGGTGTTGGGGACGCTGTAGCTGAAACACTGTCCCAGACAGGCCCTGCAAAGACAACAGGAGGGATGAGGGCTCAGGGGAGGCGCCTGCTCTTCCCAGCAAAGGCAGAAGGAGATTCGACCTTCCACTGAGACAGACAGAAGGCAGCCGGGCAGAGGCAGGACGTCGTGCCTGGCTTCTTGTGCGAGTGACAGTCCCCAAAGCCACTCCGGTGCCATCTACAAATGGGGATCAGCTGCATCCAGCTCTGCACTGAGGGTGGTTCCGTACCTGTTCTGGATGGACTTGGACTCGCAGCCGCTGTGCCCCACGATCTGGGTGATGTTCTTTGCCTCGCACCAAGCGCTCTTGTCCGGGAAGAGGGCGAGCTTGTTTATGGGGGGCGGCGCAGCCAGGAGCAGCGCTGGGAAGAGGGCACCAACCACGAACCATAACATCATGGTCAGCTCTGCCAAAATCCTACAACTGGAGACAGAGAGCAAAGCGTTAGCAGGAAAGAAAGCAGGCAAGCTGGCCCATTTCTCCAACCCCATGGCAGGTCTTGGCTGCGACAAGCACAGGTATGTCCTCCCAGTGTGCTGGTACCCACATCTCCATGGCCAGGGAGGCTCCCCAAAACACCGCCCGGGGAGTGGGACATGCTGCACTGCCTCTTCCCTGTTCACAACCAGCTCTGGGGCAGGCAGACACCTGCGTTAGTTCTCCCGAGCTTTGTGCCAGGAGCAACAGCAGGCTTTTCATCATTTCCCACCCAAAGCTGGGCTGGGAGAAGTTTGAAAAACAAAAGCGTCCCCGCCACAGGGCCGAGCCAGGTTGGAGAAGTCGCGGACCGCACAAATGTTTTTATTTGAGGAAGGAGCAGACTCCCCCACTTCCTTTTCTCCCACCTTAAAAGCCAAAGCTGGCCTCGCTGCAAGCCTTCCCAGGAAAAAGGGACCGCTTTCCCGGGAAGGAAAACCACTCTTCTCCTAGAAGTGCGCAGCAGGTGTCGCTGCAAGGCAGCAGCAAGCAGGGAGACGTGGAAACCTCAATTCAGAGGCAAGAAACCCGCAGAAACGACCAATACGGCATTTATTTTTATAGAGCCACTCAAATCCGGCAAACGGTTACTCTGAGGACGGGAACTCAGTCTGCAGACAAGGGGGGTCCTTTTAATACCGAGCATAAACCTCGCTCGCAAAGGTGGTCGGCCGAGAAGGTTACTTACCACCCCCAGAGAAATCCCACGCAGGGTTTCCTCGCAGGCCAGCTGTACTCTCGAGCCAAGGTGCCTGCATTAACACTCCCAATCACTGGGGAAAGGCAGATGGAAAAGCATCATAGAAATAGGGAAATTTTTTCCTTTGTGGGGTTTGGATGGAGTCATAGTGGAAGGCAGACGTTTCTACTTTCTAAAATACTTGTTAGAACCGTGTTATTTGTTATTTCCTTCTATTTATTTATCCAGACGAAGATCCAAAGCCCACACTGGAAAGACTCGTGTTGATTCCCATGGCTCCTGGGCCCAGCCCTCTAACGCTTGCCGGGGAAGGAGAGGAAAAATGCCTTGTTTATCAGACGCCGGTGTCAGAGGCAGCTCTGCGCTGGGGACTCCCGGCCGGGCGTTCCCCCAGTCGCTCACTCTATCTGCACAGTCTTCACCAACACGTCCTCGGCTGGAGGACCACCACGTTTATCTAAACGATTGAGATGGCCTACTAAGCACCTCCCAGAGCTCCAGCTCAGATATTTTAAGGCCGTTATGGGGCAGAGGGTTTCGCCCTGTTACCCCTCCACTGAGCCCCACCTCCTGGATCTGAATCAAGAGAGAGACGAGAGAGAGATGCTTCCCCATCCTCCATCCCAAGGCAGCCAGAAAAGGGCATCCTCGTTCCCCGGCCCCGGGATCTCTGGAGGAATCAGGTGGGGTCTCTGCTAAATTTTCTTATTTCCTGGTGATACAGGAACCATAATGGCATAACGCAGCAACACCTTTATAGCCCCCCGCTTCCTAACCCTCCCAGCGCCTGTTCATGTGAATCCCACGCGTCCCCGGTGAGAATACCTGCACAAGCAGGGTTTGCCGGTCTTGGTTTGAGATAAGCAGAGGGTTTTAGCCCCTGAACTTGCACTGCCATTAACGAGAGCAGTGTGGTTAAATACGTTTGTCCTGACGACAACTCCTCGGGCTTACTTCTGCTCCCTGAATTTTTTTTCCATTTCAGTGGGGGAATTCTGCGATTTCTGCTAAGAAGAACATGGCTAAGCTGCGCGCGCGCACACACTTGGTTTGCTTGGTTTTCTGAAACGAGCATCACTCATTCCTCAAATGCCAGCAGCTCCGTGCTGAGGAATCCCGCTCCCAAAGGCAAGTCCGAGATCAGAGCTGGGATGTGACCCAAACAGCAATCACAACCCCCTGGGGAACCCCCGAAATTCCTCTGGAGTCAGCACACAAGTTCACTTCCACATGCCCGATTAGAGAGCAATTTCCTCCTTTCCAAAGAAAGGTGGTGGCTGGTTTTTTTCCAGGTTTCTATGCATCTCTACCCAGCAGCAAAGAGGCAAACATTTCTGTCTGCGCTGACAGCCCTGCTTCCCTGGGACCTTTTCGTTTCCCGGAGGGAGGTGTTCAACAGAGAGGTGTTTCTGCAGCGCTGGTCAGAGCAGACCCATTGCCAGAGGCATGAAGGATCATCTCCGAGCATCTGGGCTCCTGTCTCGCTCCGATACCGAGAGGAAGATGAGTGAGGTTGTGCTCTGCTGAAGCACAGGACCTGGCCTGGATTCAGGAAAGCACTTAAACATATGCTTAAGCCCTCTCCTTTCCTGAGCAGGGATGTCTTCGTAACCAGGGCCCCTAGCAGCACGGCCGCTGGTCCGGTTTGCAGAGGGGCAGTCGGCGAGGAGGGGAACCGGGTACCTCTGCAGAGCTGGAGCAATTCCACTTTTACCCCATTCTTCAGGGTACTCGGGTGCTGAGCACTGCGATCCCCCACTGATTTTAAGCCCTGAACAGGCCACATCCACGTGGTGTTTTCCTTCTCCCAAGAATGCCCTGGAACCCGCAGGGCCACATTTCTAGTAAGTAACAAGGTTTATGCCAGTGCCTAGGAAAACATCTGATGCAGCTGAGTTTGGGAGGGAGCTGGGGCTGGAAACAGCCTGCTCGCAACCGCGGCATGTTCGCTGGCATAGTTCAAACCAGTCATGCGAACAGAGCTGCCACTAAAACCATTCATCTGACAGCAGCCACAGGGTCGGAGACAAAAGCACCGTGTTCCTTCTCCCCCCAGCTGGGAAGGGAAGGGAAAAAGGAAGACAAGGCACCCGAGCAGGTTTGCAAACTCCCGATTAAATAAAGGCATTGAGCACATTCCTCCGTGACAAGCTAAATTACACGTTGCAGTCCCTAAAGGAACAAGTGTGTGCTCCCCGGCGCTGACCCCGGCCCTGGCCTGCCGGCGGGAGCAAGCACTTCCCCGCACACAGGGGCTTCTTTCTCTTCTCTACACCAGGGCACATTTTTTTTTCCTGCTAGTCAAAGCTTTTCAAGCAGAAAGTTCAGCTCAGTTCCGGCAGACCCATCAGCCCGTGAGGATCTCCCCCCGCTCCCTCCGCAGGGAACCACATGGCAGCTTCCTCCGCCATCCCTTCAGCACGCATTGGAGAAATCAAATGACTCAGCCCTTGAGCCTGGCACATCCCGGACTCCGGAGACAAACAACTTCTCAGCGCACGCACAGCTGCAGCCTTGTAGTGAGCGGCCCCGGAGCCCTTTGCCAGCCTGTCCCCATGCCCGAGGAGCTGAGGGGCAAAATGTCCAAGGCTGATGGGTCTCAGCTGTACCAGCTCAGCATCCCTTCGAGGCCCGGAGAGCCTGGCAGGAGTCCTGCCGACGGCTCAGCCTCCCACGAGCCCGGTTTTGAGATGTGCTGGTAGCACGCTCAGGTGTTTTGTGTCACCTAGAAGAGCTCCTTCCTCCCATCCCGGCAGTCCCGGGGACTCTCCGGAATCCTGCAAGCAGGACAGTCCCCGCCAACGCCTGAAAGCAGCTGGGAAAAATCTACGTCGTTACATCGGCTGGAGGACAATCACGGGAATTACCTCGGAGGCCACGTTCCCACCATCCAGCCCACAGCTGTTCCCGGCCATTTGGAAACCAAACACTTCTGGAGGAAAATAAAAAAGATCTAATCAGTTTTACCCTCTTTTTCCAGCGGGAATTTTACGCCATAATGCAAGACAAGCCTGCAGGTGGACACGGGGAACATTTCATGAGTAGTTTAATATATTTATAGGTATTTTTCTTATCCAGGGTCTTGCAATTTTGCCAAACACATAAAAACACAGACACAGGTATATTGTGCTCATGGCCACACATGCAGCATCCCAGGTTCTGAGAGACAAGAAACCCCTAAGCTTTACAAACATTGCTTAGCCAAGGCTCAAAGCCTGCGAATACAGCACAGAAACAGTGTCAGCTCCACGCTGTAGCTAAGGAAAATGAGATACGAAGCCGGGAAATGGCCTTACCTCAGCGCCTAACTCGGTGATTCAAGTCCTTGTGCGAGATGCATGAGATCCCAGCAAGATGGTCAAGGCGAAGGTTTCAGCTCCCGGTCTGGATCAGAGCTGGGACCTCCACCTTCCCCTCCTGCCTCCCTGGAGGCACAGCTGTCCTGCCCGACGGAGCCGGCTTCCCACCCAGCCTGGCTCTCAAGCTACACCACGCCAAGCTGCCAAGAGCAACCCCAAGTTGGTGTTAGACATGAATCACAGCAGGTCCTGCCTTCGTGTTCAACTAGTTATTATTCGTGCCATTTTGCTAAGAAAAGCTGCTGCACGGCACCGCCGGGAGAAAAGGAGGCCCCAAAGACGCGCTGCTGAGTGCACTGCTCCGTGCCTCAGTTTCCCTGCTTGTAAGACCAGAGACCGGGGAGCGCCGTAGGCCGAGCGAGCTGACGGGTGCAGAGAGAGTGAGAAAGCACGGGGAGGTCTTTGGAGCGCCAGACTTCCTTCGAGGGAAGAGGCTGCCCGGGGCAGGAGGGGAGGGACGGCTGCCAACAGCCCTTGCCCCACACGACGCGGCGCGCGTTCCTCGACAGGAAGGTGCTCGGGGGAAACGCCGCGCTGCAGGGCAGGCGGGAGTCAGGCCGGGACATCGCTGTGCGGTGGGGGAGTCGTGCAAGGACACCGTGCTGCAGGGCAAGGCAGGGTCGCTGCCTGGAGAAGAGAAAGCTCTCTCCAGCGACTCGGGTGGGATCACTCCTGTGCGTGGAGGTGGCCAGGAGCCATCCCTCTTGCAGGTAGCTGTACACGCTAAAAGGCAACCGATTATTTAGGCACCGAAAAGGAAGCAAAGCCACAGTAAGCGTCCGATTTGGTGGCAACTGGAAAGAAACATGTACCTGTCCCGGAAAGATCCAGGGCATGGGTCTCCTTAGACACAGGATTTTGTCTATACAGTAACTTCTGAATACTACAGGGAATTGCCTCTCAGGAATCTCAACTCGTATAATATTTGCTTACGTGGAACAAAAAATATTACGAGCCAGCGCTATTAGCAGGAAAAGTTTAAATCTAAACTGTGAAAACCTGAGAAGTCACTGTGTGCTGGGAAAAAAAAATCAAAACAACTGATTTTATTCAATACTTGTCCTTATTCAATACTTCCCCCTTTTTTGAAATTTGCATTTAGCTAAAACTTTACATTTTTCAATTTGGTTGCAAAAACCACAAAGTACAACATTCTTTTGGGGACTCTACTGTCGTGCCTGCAATAGCCCAAATCAATCTGATCGATGTCGCAACAATATCGCCAGGGGAGAGGGAAGAGAACCATGCACTGAGAATGTCTAGAGGTAATTCTTCAGGACAGCAAGACAGATGAGTGCTTAACCGAACACAGAGGACTCTTCTGAGCTGAGAGCTTCAGTCTTGCTTCGCTGAGCTGCAAAATCTGGGAAGAAACTACAAAAAAATAAAAAGGGAACTACCAGAGGAAAACGTTTGATATTTAACATGCACAAGAATCAATCCTAAAAACTTTTTGATAATGGAGCGAAAGCTGTGTCATTTCTCACTGCGGACCTGGCTGTCTCTGCTCCTTTCAAAAGCAGGAGATGTTAGAGCTTCCCTCTCTGCAACATATTAATTTCCACTCAAGCACGGTTGGGCGATTCACAGAAATAAAGCAGAAATAGAGAAAAGCAGTGCAGCGTTTTTAAAGCCCTCTCCCCTCCCCACTTTGGCCAGAATTTCAAAAGACTTTGGTACGTTGGGAGTTTAAATCTGGCTTCTCAACC